TGGTGTGATGGAAGAACTATACGAAGGCGTATGAGGCTAGTAAATTAAGCATAATCGACAACAGTTGTCTTCAACAAATAAAAAACAAAGAAAAAAATGAAAAGTTTATTTCAGAAAATGATTATTGATTATGATAAGAATTATTGATATATTTGAAACTAGGGGTCTTATGCACTAAACGGCCCAAAATCCAACTTTTTACATCGTAAGCTGGAAATTATGCGATCGAATTTGATTGGGTAATTTTAGCCAATCAAATTCAAGTTAGACGGTCAGGCATTCCGATCAACCTTTCCAGCAGATAAAAATATTAGCCGAAATTTCCGAAAAGATGGAACTTTGTAAAATAGTCAAATTAATTTTGAGTTACTTGTGAAACCTTGACCAGACAAGAAAAGCTTCAAAAAATGGCTTGACAAAACAAAAATTCAATTTTTTTTATCGTTTCGGCTAATAATTTTATCTGCTTGAAATGGCCGAATTATTTCATTTGAAATGGCAGAAAATGTCGATGGAACTTGATTGGCTAATTAGCCAATCACATTCAACCACATTAATTTCAGTTCAAGAGATGTAGAAATAATAATTTTGGGCCGTTTAGTGCATAAGACCCGAAACTAGTTTTACATGAACAAAATTTCCTTTTACTCGCTCGACATTAAGAATTTTTTATTGAAAATTGTTTAATCTCGTTCGAACCACGACTAAAAACGCTTTAATATTAAATATATATCACTCGACTCCTTCTGAGACTATTTGAAATACGTACTTTTGAGTTCAAAACAAAAAAGTTAAAGAAAAACTACAACACAAACGGAGATAAACTTCTTCCCCCTTTTCAATGATTGGATAAAACTGGGTCAATTTGTAACCTCTTATGTAATCGGAAAAATCCATAAAAGTAAAGCCAATCTCAAAATTAATCGCAAGCTCCATTTTCCCGTCATTTGCAATTTTCTCATAGTAGAGCGTAATTTACCTTGTACGTTGTTCAAGTAAAACTGCCTTATTGTTGAAACTAATTCTGTTTCAAAGATTCAGAAATGAAGCCGTCAGAAACTTACAAACTATACTTTTTCGCTGTTGAACATAATTGCCTCAATTAAAAGGCTTGAAATCTTTTTTCTCCTCCTAAGACATAACCGAAGCTCGCGGCTCAAGCCATCGAAGCAAAGTTACCACGAAATAAGAAGCAAAACAAGTTTCGGGGATATTTCTTCAGCGAGAATAAGAAAGAAAAAATTTCTTTTTCCAATTGGAGTTATTTCATTCAGGCTTAAAAAGCAAGCCTAAAAAGAAAACGAAGCCAACTAATTTTACACTGAAAAATGTTTTGCGACAGTTTTTTACAGGCAGGAATTCGTTACAAGAGACAATTCGTAACAAGGCATTGGTGAGTAGCGACAGCGAGCTCTGCTGAACTTACATACAATTCGATGAGTAAAGCTTGTGAATCATTGTTTGACATTTACTCTATTGTTAGCTAATTATTGAAAAGATGTGATAGTGTCGAGAAAATATAGATCTACAAAAATTTTCGAATCTACAAAAATTTCTTAGAAAAGTTTGATTCACAGCGACGAAAAAAACCGTTAATTAAAAAAATTTGGAATGAATGAAAAGTTTAATTTCAGAAGAACAGTCGGTATTACAGACACCAGCATTTAATGCAAATTAAGAAGTTATCGAACGGCTCCTGAGCTGACAAAAATGGGCAGACGACAGTTGAGCCAAAAACAGAAAACATTGCGAACAGACACTTGGAAAAGAGTAAAGAAAAAAAATAGCTTTTTGAATTTCTAGAAAAATTTATGATTGGCAATTTTTGATAAAATTAATCCATTTTCGAAACCAGAAGTCGGTCACGTGTCTCGATTTTCACACTTTCGCTGTTCGACAGTGGAGTGAGCCATTCTTTAAACAAAAGAAATGAACTGAATTTCAAACCAAAAATCAAACCACGAAAAAGTAACTTGAGCCTGAAAAAATTTAGAGACTATTCCTGAAATATAAACAAAAAAAAACATCACGACCTCTAAAAGAGTCTGAACTACGTTCATCGACTTTTAAAGAAAACCATTAGCAATTGTCGTCATAAAAGTTAAATAACTTTGAACTTTTCCACCACAACCGATCTGAACCAATCTAAAATAACCAATATTTGTCCTTCAAACGACACAAAACAAGTTGATCAAGCCGATACAACATAAGCGGAAACAAGGTAGGCCGAATGAAACATTCAAGTGAAAAAAAGGAAAAGGTATAAAAGCAGGGCTAGTAAATTTTAAATAGCAGAAAATCAATAATACTAGCAGTTAAAGGGACTAGTGCTTCAAGCACAAAAAAATCCGCGATGTGTCATCTATGCCGACAAAACAAACATACAAGCAATATGCCGACATTGCCACTTTCCAGGAAAAAAAATTCAAATTCATACATAATGAAAAAAAAAACAAGGAAAGCCGGTTACTGTGCAAGTAGCACAGAACGTTCCGACCACTGTCCTAGAAAAATACAAAAACATTTTTTTCAAATTAGTGTCGTTTTTCCGTTTTCAAACTATTGTTATCTGATAAAAAAATCTGAACGAAAGAAAAAATTAGGCGTATTTGACAGCCATAGTAAAAAAAAGGCCATTTGGAAAACAGTTTTTGAAGAAAATTGACAAGAAAAAAAAGAAAAAAGTTTAAAAATTGGCGTTAAAAAACTACTTTTATTTGATACCAACTAAGTTTTCAAGGCGTAAATAAGCTTTTGTAAGCCTACACGCTCAAACCATATTAGTTCGAAATAAGACCAAAAATTGAAAATTTCAAACCGGTTTTTCTCGACACTGTAAAAAAAATTTTGAATTTTTTAAATGTCGTTCGAAACGCGATTGAAAGGGCTTTACATAGAGACGAAGTTGCACTCCGCAAACAAAAGGATAAAAATGACCGATAACGCTACTGGGAAAAACTGAACGAGTAAATCTTTGAGTTTACAAAACTTCTTTAGTGACGCAGGCAAATTATGAGTCTACATAATTGCAAAAAGAAACGAGCCAATTATGACGCGTTCGCAGTACCAGTCAATTTGAAAAAAAAATTACCAACTAACATGCCTCAATTTATGGAGCGGATGCATTTAAACTAGTGTGCAAAATAATTCATTAAAAGCATGCGACCCTGCCCAGGTTCGAACCCTCTTATTTTATTGAGGGCTTCCTTCCCTACCTCTACGCTAGAGATCCTTGATACCTTGAAGATAAAGTGCTATTTGTAATATAATAGTCTATGTTAATATCCTTAGCAATGGCTGTACTTTATAGCTGGTTATTGATCAAAATGAACACTTTCAAAATGAACATATTTAGTCGCAACAATATTTGCAACTAAGGTTGAAAAAAAAAACAGTGTTCATACAATCACACAAGCTTTGCTTGTGTAAATATGATATATCACTCGATCCATTCAGATAATTATTTGCAGTTCCTGATTTTGCGTGGAAAACGAAAAAAACTAAAACACCCGAATACAAAGTTCCTCCCCATTTTTCAAACAACAAGGCGATAAGATTTCAAAGAAATTGCGTTACCTCCAGACCAAGTAGGAACGAGACTGGACGTTATAAAGGTTCACAAACAAAGAAAGCTCAATTTCTTTCAAATTTATAAGAAAAGTTGTTAACGGGAAAAATCTCTTGAAAAAAAATTGCAAGGGTAATTCACCTAAAAATTCTGAAACTAAAATTCCACTTTCGAAACACTTGTTTTTAGCACAATTGTTTTTCGCGCCATTGGAACGTTTGATATCAGAGAGCATAATTTGCCTTGTTTTTTGCAAATTAATTAGAATTTAAGAGCTAAACCATAAAAAAAATTTGAGCGTGAACACTTTAAGGACTGAAAAACGGGAAAAAGTCAAAGTTACCTATATAAATGCAAAACTACGTTCATTGCAAACTACAATTTCGTTACCTCATGCATAATTTCGTTGCTTCAATTCAAATTCAGCTGCTAAGAAGTCTGAGAATCATTCTAGTACTTCTCTTTCTTACACAGCTAAAAAAAACTAAGCGGCTCGGATATCATTTCAGATGATTTATGCTGTTTCAGATCAACGTTTCAGAAGAGGAAAATCTATTACCGAATTTCATAATGAGACCTGCTACTTGTAATAACAGCCTTATTAAAGTTGAATTAAAGTCAGAAAACGCTTCTTGATTCAAACTAACTTCACATCTAGTCTAGGACACAAATGACTAGGACTTCTTATTAAGCATGTTTATAAGAATTCAACTTTTCAGATTGAGCCGTCAGCTTCCAAAATGGTCATGAAGACAAGGAACCACTAATCAATAATTCAAGGTTTCCCTTTTTATCAAATCCGCGTGCGCATTCGAAAGGGAAATATTAAATAACTTCCATAAAAAAATTTATCCACGTTGGCTATCCACGTTACATTTTCTCTAAAACAACATTTTTTTTCTGGCAAACAATTTTTGCTGCACAAAATTATCTGCAAACCACTTGAAAATTACTCAAATTGTAGTTAACCGTTGCGCATATTCAGTGACTCACATAGGTTCAGTTTGTGAAAATCAACTAATTTTTATGAAAAATTCATGTTATATTTTTTGTGCATCTAAGAAAAACTGAATCACAGCAATGATCTTGTTCTAAGTTGTTCTTTTGGCTTGATCAAAAAACTTAAGTCCAAAATCATGTGTCAGACCCAACAAAAAAGATTTAATACCAATTAAACCGTAAAATGTTGTAGTCACGCATTGTTTTTTTTTTCTAAAATCTTAGTGAGCAAGTTTATTGTCTATTGTTTTGAACAATCTCTGAGTATCAACAATAGCTTCGACTCAGTTCATAAAAACTGCCACGTTTCATTTTACCATAAATGGTCAGGCATATCTTGATACCACTTTAATTCGCATAGACGCGTAAGCAGTTACGGCTCATAAGTATTCACATGTAGTGGCAGTAATAGAGTAAGTCAGACAGTACTTACACTTCGCCAAAATCCAGATATTCTGGAGTGAACGCAAGAGAGCTCAACAGCTCGTCTGAAGTCACATCTTGGCAACTGAAACGATAACCATGTTAATAAATCAATTTTGATTTTGTTGCGTAGAAACGCAAATTGAAGATCCAAAGCAAAAAATAAATAAACTGAAGATCCAAAGCAATTTTCTTAATTTAAGCTCCAACCAATTAATCAATTTAAGGGAGTAATATTTACTGAGTAGAGAAACAGTTGTATAAAATTTATCCCAAGAACTAGTCACAGCCATCGACTTGTACAAGATCATATGCAAAAAATGGGACATCATATCTAAGGAAGTAGTTTAAGGAAAACAAGTTGCATATTTCGGGAGGGCAAACAAGTTTACCAAATTTCTTTTCAATAACAGACAGTTTTTTCACTAGCAACATAAACTTTGACTTGTTTGTAAAAACGCTCGGGTTATTATAATTATAAATAATGGCGAAGCGGAGCTTCAAAACACTTGCGATAAAACAAACATAGCATTGTAAGCTAATGGATAGAAAATGTACCGGGTCACCAAATCAAAAAATCACTTCGAAAAATGCCAAAAAACTACCAAGTTTCAAACGTTTGTCTTGAATCATGTTCATGTTGACATAACACTTTGATATACAAAATCATTAGCGGCAACTAAGCCGAAAAACGTAGACACTCATTGAGCCGAAAACAAAAAAAATATATTATACAGAATTTGAGCTATACAGTCTCCTGAAACACAAAAGTATAAAAATCTGAGGTGACTCCGCACATATTTCATAAGCGAGACCCATTTAAATTTATATCTTGAAAACATCAAAAAAAAACTTTTTCGAATCTGAATCAAGGCTAAAAAGAGCTGTAATATGATACCTCACTTGATCCCCAAAAAGCTTTCTTTGAGATATAAAAATTGGCTGGAAAAAATAGACCCTACGCCATAATTCCCTGGCACTTCGTAGTGTAGTCGGAACAAAAAACATAGCCAACGGACAATAGGACAAGATTAAATATACGCAAGGAAAACAGAACGGACTTGGTTTTTGAAAACTTCAAATTTTGAACTTGATAGTTAAAAAATACATAGCCTCAAAGCTCTTTGAATTTCAAGAACAACTTATCATTATATTTTTTGCATAATTAACCCAATTAAAGAAAATTGGACCAAACATTCCACATATATAACACTTACCATCGCAGAGTAAAACTTTGAACATAACCAACAGACAAATGGAAAAGAGTCAATGAACAAAAGTAAACAGAAAAAAACACCCGATTTGTTTTAGGAAAAAGACTCAAGTTTCGAATTGCAAAGAAAAAAGGAACCCCATAAAGATCTTTCAATTTCTAGAACAATTTATTATTGGCTTTTTTGATAAAAATAACCCAATTTGAGAAAACTGGATCAATAAGTAACATTTTTATTTCGCTAGGAAAACTGAAAATTAAAATGCACTTTCGAAACTAGAAGTCGGTCACGTTTTTGATGACCCTTACACTTTAGCTGTTGGATTGTGGAGTTTGCCTTCCTAAGGCTTTTCCTGGAAAAAAAATCGCGACCTATATAAGAGTCTGAACGTTCATCGAATCTTAACGAGCAATCTTTTTCAATTAGCCCTTGCCATCAGATGTTTTGTTTGTTTCATCTCAGCTGATCTTCCTTGAAAAACAAACCTGAAGCTCCTGCCCTCGATTTGGAAGTAAAGGCGAGACACACTAGGCAGCTGGCTTGAATCAAATGCAACCAATTTTGGTTCGTTTAGTCTGTTTATATTTCAGGTGTTTCATGCATATTCATCAATTGCTAAGATAAATCAAGTCGTTTTCTGCTGTCTTTTGCTGCCACTTGAACAATTTTGCAAAAAATTTCAAAGTTGGTTGAAATACGGCAAAAAGACAGAATTTTACTGAGGCAAGAAAAAGTACAGTCGCTCTATTAGTTTCTCTAAGTAGATTGCATTCTCAAAAAATCATTGACCTAGTTGCTTTTCAAGATCCTATAGTGCTCTCATTTTCTGCATGGAATAAATGCATTTGAGCAAATACATTTGAACTAATACATTTTATACTAATACATTTGAACTCTAGGAATTCAAATGTAATAGTTACATCCTACACTTATCCGTTCATCAAACACTTAGTTATCTGACCAATAAACAAAATAAAGGCTTGCAAAAAAACGCTGCAGCTGAATCAATTCAATTAACTTGAATCATAAAAAAACCGCTTGAGTACTTTCATGAACTCTTCAAGTCCCGTTGATAACTCATTGCTTTTACGATATTGTTTTAAGTTCAAGTACCTTAAAATGTTGAGTGCTAACAACATAATAAGTCTTGCAAATACATAAACAAGCGTTTGAGAGCTGAAATTTCAATAAATCAGTAAGTGAAGAAAGCACTTTTAGAGTTCCGTTTTTATACTTACTTGTTAACTAAACAAGCCGCAGCAGCTTTGCTTTCGTCCTAAAACACTAGATTATAAATATGAGGCTTAAAACTACAAAACTTTGGGGCGAGAGAAGGAACTTACGAAAGGCAAATGTTCGGCAAGGGTAAGAAGAGAGACGTCGCCTTCGCTCTTCTGGATAAAAGCTGGAAAAATAACAACAAAATTAGCCAGAACAAACTGGTTATTAAATAACTATGCTGATGAAAACTTGGAACAGAAGAGCACATTAGAAGAAATACCACATATGTCGAAAAAGTCGTAATTTTATATCACAAGCATGCGGCTTTTCAGCTGAATAAATTTGTTCAGCATTTCAGCTACAATCAACAGAAAAATTACATCAATTAGGATTTTCGTTGTCCATTTTGTTCCTCAGTTTCATCTTCAACAAACCTTAAATTAAGTCGCCCTGACCTTAAATTAGAAGTTTCCCTGGCCATTACAAAAGTTTAAGTGGAATTTTGAACTTTAAACGCGATGTTCACCGTAAGGTTTGCTGAAGATGAGACTGAAAAACATGTCAAGCTTTGTTCTCAGTGCAATATAACCCGCTGACAATAAAAAAAAACAGGCATTAAATATGAACAGGCAATGACACTTAAAATAAACATTCAGACATAGTTTTCTCGCAACTAAGGGCACTTTTCTTGATATTTACATCAATCGAATCACGACTGACTTCAAATCAACATGATACTAAATTTGACTCCATGCGAGCTTTCTTTGAGTTCGTCAAAATTGAGTAAAAACCGTGCTACGCCATAGTTCCGTCCCATCACTTTGGGTGCGGGTGGGGTGGTCGAAACCAAAAAATGAAAGATGCAATAGAAGGCCTCATGAAAACACATTGCTCCTCATGTTCATCTACGATGCAAGACATTCGAGCCAAGGGCAGCTTTAGGGGAGATGCAGATGTCCCCAGGAATTCGATTAACATTTGTTACTATTAAACGACATTCACTTATGGCCAACATATATTGAAATTTCTCTTACATCGCCAATGGTGCATTCTTTTAAAGCATAAAAAGAACAATGAGCGTAAAAAAATTAACAAGAGCCCTAAACAAAAATCACTACCTAAAAAAATTGAACCGTTCATTAACACTTTCTAAATGGGTACAGAAATTGCGCGCAACATAGCAACACAGAGGCGAAGCTGAGCTTCGCACCACTTGCGATACAACAAGTAGAGGATTAGAACAGCAAGATAGTCAAAAACTATCAAAGAGGACTTCGAAATTTGTGAGCGTAGAAGAATCAACTGGAAACAAAAAACATGAAAATCATTTTTTTACGTTTAAATTAATTAATATTTTTAAAAATTTCTAAGTTAAGTTGAACTTGAGCATTCGAAAACTTAATATTTGGGCCAAAAGCTACATGATCTCATAAATACTATCGGAAACTTGTAGGAAACAAAACATTAATGCAGACATTGATTGGGATGATCACTCGACGTCGTCACTCTTAGGTCTTGCGTTATTGGACTTGATGGATGAATTCAACTTAATACAGCTCATTGACTTCTCGACGGCAGTCTCCGGCATTCTTGATCTTTTCTTCGTTTCTGAGAATGTTGATTTTATCCACATCAATAGAATTGACGATGGTATCAATATATCTAATCATTATCCAATAGCTGGGAGTTTCACCATGAGAAATGTGCTCCTAATGCCACGCCTAGTTCATCGCCAGAATTATTTCAGTTACTGTAAGGGTGATTATGACAAACTGAATCGTCTTATTTTTGAGTCACCATTCCTGGGACGGTGCTGGTCCAATGTTAATGTTTTAGTGAAGGAATGGGAAATTTGGTTCAAGAACCTTTTACCCCTAGCAGTACCCATTCGCACACGTCACCGCGCATCTCTGTCGCCATGGATATCCTCAAACACCTCGTATCATTTGAAAAAGTTGAGTACTTTGAAGCGAAAATTGCCTACTAGTCACTCAAAAGTTGCCGTAAAGGAACTTGAATGTGTTAGGCTAATATCAAGAGACAAGCTGGAATACCAGATTTCATTGGCAGACAACCGTAACACAAATTCCTTGTTCAAGTATTACAGGTCGTTCAACAAATCTGCCTTACCGTCTAAGATTCATTTCAATTCATTAATAGCTCAAGGTGACTCAGAACAAGCTGACTTATTCGCCAATTATTTTTCATCTGTATATAAGGTTTCTACAGAATTTGACCCAAGCTCATTGTCATTCGAATCCGAACTGCCAATCGTCGACAACATTATTTTTGAAGACAGCAACGTAATGCAGATTTGTAATGGCTTACATGTTAACAAAGCAAGCGGACCTGACTCATTGCCGGCCTCCATATATAAGCACACATCTTCATCTATCTCAAAATCTCTCTGTCAGCTGTTCAGGAAAATACTACAGACCTCCTTGTATCCTACAGCGTGGAAATTAGCGCATGTAATCCCAATATATAAAAAAGGTAGCAAGGCAGATGTCAAAAATTATCGGCCGGTATCACTGTTACCGATTTGTTCAAAAATATTTGAGCGTTGTATCTTTATTGATTTGTATAATCACTACAGTGGCTGGTTTCATGACGCACAGTTTGGTTTTCGGAAAAATAGGTCACCTACCATACAATTGATAATTTATCTGGACACCGTTTACAAATTTGTCAACAACGGTCAACCTGTAAACGTTATTTACACTGATTTTGAAAAGGCCTTCGATCGTGTAGACCATGGAATCCTACTACGCAAACTGTATTCAACAGGTATTAGAGGAAAGTTATTGTCTTTGCTACAGTCATATCTTTCTAACCGCACTCAAGTTGTCAAGGTTGGGAATTCGCTTTCAAAGGGGATTTTGATATCCAGTGGAGTACCACAAGGAGCACTTTTATCAGCACTCCTTTTTCTCGTTTTCATTAACGACCTTCCGAGCTCGTGTTCCTTTTCATATTCCTTGCTTTGTGCAGATGACGCAAAGTTTATAAGTTTCGACCGCTCCCCTGAAGCATTCCAAAGTGATCTGAACTCTGTCTTCGACTGGAGTATACAGAACAAAATCCCTTTTAATTTACAGAAATGCTCTCATTTATTGTTCAGTGGCTCCTATAGTGGTATTTATTTTGATGATAATGTTATTCCTCCTGCTCTTGTACATAAAGATTTGGGGTTAGTCATAACAAGTAACCTCGACTGGACACTCCACATTACTACTATAATTAATAGTGCCATGCGAGTTTCCCAAATGGTGAAACGTAGCTCACCTTTCTTGCCGGTATTCAGTAAGCTGAACATCTACAAGAGTATGATTCTTCCCAAGCTGCTTTATAGCTCGAGTGCATTCGGTCTTAACGTTACAGGAATGAAGCGAATTGAAGGCTTTCAAAGAAAGGTATGCCGATGGATAACACCAGGCATGAATTACAAAGACGCTTTGAAATTTCTTAATATCTTACCTTTGCCTTTCTTTATTCAGCTTAATGACTTACTGCTTTACAACAAAATTTTAACTGGTCGTTATGATTATGATTTTTCTGATGTAATATCACCATTGTCTACCAGAAGCTGTCGGTCCGCTTCGTTCCAGGTGACTCGGCCAAGGAGAAGACAATGTGAACACAACTTCTGGTTCAGAACTGCACGCTTAATTTCTCTAGCACCGCCTATCATTGACGTCTTCAACAGTGACGGGTTTAAGAGTCGCTGTCTCAAATGGATGTGGCGCTACTTTGACCAATATTTCAATCCTGACAACTCATGTACCCGGAAACTCTACTGTGACTGTACCCGGAACAACTGTAGACTCATTTCCAATCGACTTACTTAGGGGAAAACCCCTTGCAACTCTGTTGCTAAATCTATAATAATAATAATAATTAGGTAAGTAAGCCGAAAGCCAATTGGCTGAAATTCAACCAAAATTGTACGGCAAAATTTTATTCCAAAATATACATATGCTGCTCAAATAGTATGCACAAAAGCCATAGAGGTACTGAACTTAAGGTGGTATACACAATTGAGAAGCTAAGCCGAGAGCTAAATCAAAAGCCGAAAATTCATCAGCAAAAAAGTAATATCGATGTTTTATAACTATACATACAACCAATCTATCAAAATAAATGAAGATAGTTTTGCAAGAAAACATGCCAAGACATTAGAATGCAAAAACAGCATCGGAACAAAACTAACCGAGCAGTAAAAAAAAACAGAAAAAAACTCAACAGAAGCCCTTCATGCCAAAAACAAACAAAAAAAGCCATAACAATAAAAAATTATGCGTCCCCGCCCCTCAAAACACACGCACACGAAATTTTGTTCGGCCATCTTACGAAGCAACAAGGGGCCACTAAGTAGACATAAAATAAACAGATACCGACTAAGACGAAAAAAGCAGACAAAAATATTGAAAAAAGCTAACTGTAACAAATCGAGTTGGTGAAATTACACCCGATGTAAAAAGCATAATTCTATTCGGCAGGACTTTTAAAATGCTAAGACGCTAAGTACTGCAATGAAATTCGTTTCCACCAAAAATAAACTATTCTTAGATCTGGCAACTAAGCCGACAAAACATAAGCAGACAAATAATAAGCCGAAAATTTTTTTGAACCGAAGTTTTTACCGTTAAAAAAACAGGTCCTGGTCAGATTCAAACCCAGGACAATTACCTTCCGAAGCGCGTTCGTTACCTCCACGATAAGTGTGCAGGAGACATTAAGAATTTTTAATCCGTTGTGAACCAAGGTACCACCAGGAGTCGATGAGTCCTCTGACTGTTCTTTACGAGAAAAAAGTCTAGTACCCGATAGCAATACCCTTGCTTATCGCAAGGGTAATTAAGCAGCGCATTAATAAGTCTAAGCGAACGAAAATAGAGATTACCGTAAATTGTTCGTTAGATAAAACCCCATTAATTTGAGACGATACATGACTGACAATTTGCAGTCTCTAATTGCCCGAATTTCTTTTAATTTTTGATTGTTTCTGTGGTTTTTCATTGAGACACGTTAAAAACATTTTTAAGATTTCCTACTCTCAGCTGATTTCATTTTTTATACGAAACCACAGTAAACAGTGGAATCAAACAAAAATCACTCAATTAAAACAATTAAATCAATAATTACTCGCCAATTGAAACAATTACTCGTTCAATTTAAATAAATCAATTACTAACCGACATCCAAAGGCGTAGCAGAACAAGTGTCAAGAAATTGCACGAAAACGATCGTCAGTACAATTCGTAGAACGACCGAAGACATCTTCTTTTTCTGTTATCTGATTTTTCCTTCGATTAAAATAAAAACCATTTCTGAAAGAACAATGAGTTAAGCAAACCTTTCTATTGTACTGAGAAAAACAGTTAACTATGAGCTTTTCCGCACCGTACAAGGTGCCTGCTTGGTCAAGTATCTCGCGCAAAAGTGATAAGAGCACGAGATGCTATCTCATATTCTACATGTGGCACATCTAGGGATGATTGCAAAGCGAAGTGGAGCTTTAGACTGCTTGCATTTAAACAAAAGAAAAACCGTGATGGGGAAAAACTTCTTTTCAAACTTGATCCAGTCGAAATCTGAGCACAGCGGCGAAGCAGAGCTTCGTACCACTTGCGAAACAAAGTGAAATGTCAAAAGTCAAAAATCGTGAGCAAAACATCTAGAAAATCATTTTTTCAGATGCAATAGATAAACTTTTACCTAAAACATAAGAACAATTCGAACTTGATGAATTACGAAATAGATGGAAACGAGAAAAATAACTTCCCAAATTTTCACAAAATGTTGCTAAAAAAATCTTGCAACCAGATAGCTCCATATCCCACAGTAAGAATTGTTGATAAGAGAAGGCCCTATCCATTATTTGCTATAAAGACCAATCAAACGGAAAAAAATTTCAAAAAAAAATTAAATGTAAAAATTTCAATCAACTAATTTTAAAAACTTGCAAAAATTTGAAAATTCTATTTTTGTTTTCAAACAAATCAGCAGGAAAAAACTTATTTCCTGAATCTCGTGCGAAACTCGCCACAATCATTCGTAGACAAAACAGAAGAAAAAGAAACTATTTAATTACTATACAGAATGGTCAATGCATGAGTTTAGTAAGGGTGTAAATTTAATATTAGCTACAAATTTAAATTAAATACTCATGTTTGAAAAAAAAAGAGATGAAACTATTACATCAATAAAGTCAACAATTTAGGAAACGAAGTAAGAAGTAAAAATATTTGTACACCCGCAAAAATTGTACTATTATTAAAACATGGTCAAACTGAACATATAATTACAAATCAACTAATGAAAATGAAATTCACGCAACGTATTTGTATGCGTACATATAGTTTTAGATTTCAATCAGTAGTATAGAACTCAATAGAAGTTTTTTCTTGGACAAGGATGTGGTAATTCCAAAATTTCGTAATTTACTTTACAACGAAATCTATTTTTCTGACGTCAGTTGAAAAAATTTTTTGGGGAAAAGCAGTTGAACAGTGGTTTGTAACATTCGCCCGGAAGTACATATCGACGGAAAACAAAGCTAGGTTCTAAAACTACTGGCTAGCGTCTAAACACAGCTCTACATGCTTTTCACCGTCTCTGCCAAAGCCAGTTTTTTGGTGGTCTTTCTAATATCGGGTCGACAAAAACGTTTCTGTTTCCGGCTTCGATCAGAACGCTCAAATTAACTTAATTACATGCAAAATTAGTGAGCTCATGGCTGGGTCTCAGTATCCCCAGACCACGAGGTCACTCCTAAAAACATGGCTACTACTAGTTATTATATTACTTTTGTTTTTGTTCAGTAGATAGAAATCATCATTTCTATCGAAGATGGATCAACCCTTTCCCTCAACTCCTAGCTTCTCATATTCAGAAATTGAATCGAGATGTTATTTAAATTCAATTCAGGCATGACCAGGAAGCTAAAAGTTATTTTGAAATAGTTTGAGTTCAGGTCTCAAGACCCCTCCGGATTCCTGAATCCGGCGAAATAACACCCTTATTTCTTCTCCGGAAGGCTGAATTCACGGTTCCACCACCCTTCACAGTTGGCGTGAATGGCTCTGTAACGATTGTATCGACTTACTACAGAATATAAATGGCATCATACCACACTACTATAGCCTTCTAAATTTTTTCACTAATCTGCACTTTCGAGGATGTCCCGATTTTGAATTTTTTCTCCTAGGTTTAAAAATGTAGGGACGCAGGACAGTCCTGCCAACCCACAAACTAAAATTATCCTACTATGCTTCTTCCCTTCGGAAATTTAGTTGTTACTGGTCCTGAATATTCAAATAAAGGAACTCGGTGGTTAGAAGGAACAATGAAATATTCTTCCCCTTCAAGAGATTACCCAATCCTTTCATGTCACCACAAAGTGATCAGTCGTCCTAGTTGATTAAAATCAATCATGCAGGCTGGAATAATTTAATATACTCTCCACTCAAGCCCCTCTAAACAAATAGTAATTGTCTCTAAAGCCATTTACTAAAATCATAATGCAAATTTATAAATGCAACAAATTCTTTATTTTTCAAAACTCAACTAAATGTTTGCTTGTCAGTTTCAAATGCAAACTTAGTTGCTTAGTTTCTAATTTCAGTTTTTTGTCAGAACAAAACATTTCTGAGTTTTAACATCTTCTCTTTCGTCGCTTCTTTGTTTTCTTATTTGTTTGTCGTTTAGAAGTTCTAAAACTTCTAAAATCTTCAATTTTTCTTTCTTTTTGCATCTTGTTTTTTGACCATTTGTCAATGTTCCATCTCCTCCTCCTGCAACATTGACTCCGCACTTTCAGTCTCTATGTCTTGCAACACGTCGGCAGCTTTTCTGACGCTGTTGGAAGCAGTCCTCCAACACTTCTGTTCTTCTACTCTTTGTTTACAACAAGGTAGATGATCAACGTTAGATTCTCTGTTTTGGCAGAAGGTGTTGTGGAGGGACAACGTCACGTTTCTCTCCAAGTCTTCCTTCAACATCTCTTCTTTTCCCTTCCGTCACAATCACTTGCCCTAGAAGTTCTCTTCACTATGTTGATTACTGTATTCCGATGAGTTACAAAATCTCGCTTAAAAGCTCCTGCTCCAATGTCCAGCTGATACGCCCTGTACACTCTCTAATCTTTCTATTGTACTGAGAAAAACAGTTAACTATGAGCTTTTCTGCACCGTACAAGGTGCGTGCTTGGTCAAGTATCTCGCGCAAAAGTGATAAGAGCACGAGATGCTATCTCATATTCTACATGTGGCACATCTAGGGATGATTGCAAAGCGAAGTGGAGCTTTAGACTGCTTGCATTTAAACAAAAGAAAAACCGTGATGGGGAAAAACTTCTTTTCAAACTTGATCCAGTTGAAATCTGAGCACAGCGGCGAAGCAGAGCTTCGTACCACTTGCGAAACAAAGTGAAATGTCAAAAGTCAAAAATCGTGAGCAAAACATCTAGAAAATCATTTTTTCAGATGCAATAGATAAACTTTTACCTAAAACATAAGAAAAATTCGAACTTGATGAATTACGAAATAGATGGAAACGAGAAAAATAACTTCCCAAATTTTCACAAAATGTTGCTAAAAAAATCTTGCAACCAGATAGCTCCATATCCCACAGTAAGAATTGTTGATAAGAGAAGGCCCTATCCATTATTTGCTATAAAGACCAATCAAACGGAAATAAAATTTCAAAAAAAAATTAAATGTAAAAATTTCAATCAACTAATTTAAAAAACTTGCAAAAATTTGAAAATTCTATTTTTGTTTTCAAACAAATCAGCAGGAAAAAACTTATTTCCTGAATCTCGTGCGAAACTCGCCACAATCATTCGTAGACAAAACAGAAGAAAAAGAAACTATTTAATTACTATACAGAATGGTCAATGCATGAGTTTAGTAAGGGTGTAAATTTAATATTAGCTACAAATTTAAATTAAATACTCATGTTTGAAAAAAAAGAGATGAAACTATTACATCAATAAAGTCAACAATTTAGGAAACGAAGTAAGAAGTAAAAATATTTGTACACCCGCAAAAAATGTACTATTATTAAAACATGGTCAAACTGAACATATAATTACAAATCAACTAATGAAAATGAAATTCACGCAACGTATTTGTATGCGTACATATAGTTTTAGATTTCAATCAGTAGTAAAGAACTCAATAGAAGTTTTTTCTTGGACAAGGATGTGGTAATTCCAAAATTTCGTAATTTAATTTACAACGAAATCTATTTTTCTGACGTCAGTTGAAAAAAATTTTTGGGGAAAAGCAGTTGAACAGTGGTTTGTAACATTCGCCCGGAAGTACATATCGACGGAAAACAAAGCTAGGTTCTAAAACTACTGGCTAGCGTCTAAACACAGCTCTACATGCTTTTCACCGTCTCTGCCAAAGCCAGTTTTTTTGGTGGTCTTTCTAATATCGGGTCGACAAAAACGTTTCTGTTTCCGGCTTCGATCAGAACGCTCAAATTAACTTAATTACATGCAAAATTAGTGAGCTCATGGCTGGGTCTCAGTATCCCCAGACCACGAGGTCACTCCTAAAAACATGGCTACTACTATTTATTATATTACTTTTGTTTTTGTTCAGTAGATAGAAATCATCATTTCTATCGAAGATGGATCAACCCTTTCCCTCAACTCCTAGCTTCTCATAATCAGAAATTGAATCGAGATGTTATTTAAATTCAATTCAGGGCATGACCAGGAAGCTAAAAGTTAGTTTGAAATAGTTTGAGTTCAGGTCTCAAGACCCCTCCGGATTCCTGAATCCGGGGAAATAACACCCTTATTTCTTCTCCGGAAGGCTGAATTCACGGTTCCACCACCCTTCACCGTTGGCGTGAATGGCTCTGTAACGATTGTATCGACTTACTACAGAATATAAATGGCATCATACCACACTACTATAGCCTTCTAAATTTTTTCACTAATCTGCACTTTCGAGGATGTCCCGATTTAGCATTTTTTCTCCTAGGTTTAAAAATGTAGTGACGCAGGACAGTCCTGCCAACCTACAAACTAAAATTATCCTACTATGCTTCTTCCCTTCGGAAATTTACTTGTTACTGGTCCTGAATATTAAAATAAAGGAACTCGGTGGTTAGAAGGAACAATGAAAAAATCTTCCTCTTCAAGAGATTACCCAAGCCTCATCTGTGACCACAAAGTAATCAGTCGTCCTAGTTGATTAAAATCAATCATGCAGGCTGGAATAATTTATTATACTCTCCACTCAAGCCCCTCTAAACAAATAGTAATTGTCTCTAAAGCCATTTACTAAAATCATAATGCAAATTTAT